CACAGACCGAGGTCCTGCTCTCTTTGCCCTCCCTCGGGGACTGCATTTGCAGAGGGTTGTCCATGGAGGAGAGGCAGTGTTGGCTGCTCCAGTGGATTTTCCTCCAGTGCAGGCTGATGGGTCTGCAAGCTCTTGGGTTTGGCTGCTCAAACACAAAAGCATCTGACATCACTGGGCTGAATTAAGTGATTTTTTCCTGTCCTGAAAGAGAGGAGAAAAGGAAAATTAAGTGAACTGTGGAAGTCAAAGGCTCCTTGCTTTCACACTTCTGTTCTGATTACTCACTATAGGGGCTTTCTTGCATAAAAAATGAGAGGTGACACCGAATAAAAGTGCCTTTTTAAAATTCCTATTTATTAGCATTTTTATTTCTATTTTTTCCATACATAAAAAGGATGCCCATTTTTGTTTATTGTATTCTTTGCCTTGCTTTGACAGAACCATTTTCAATCCAGACCCCACTTGTGAGTTATGTCATCCTTTGCCAAGAATCTACAAGTGTGGAGGTTGCAGGGCCTCTCATAGCATTCTGGCTGTTGCCAACTGACAGCAGGAATGAACAGTGAAAAGCATCATCAGAAAACAGAAGTTAAAAACTTCTAGATCTAAGTCATAGAAAACAAAATAGCTTTCTGCTCCTTGTGAGTTCACAGAGGAACTGGGAAGGGGGAATTAAAAACACAGGCAAATGGGAAGAGGACACCACCACCACTCTCCTACCAATAAAAAACCCCAAACAAACCGAAAACAACAAAACCCCCAAACAAACAAACAAAACAAAAGCCAAAACCCCCCAAATCAACCAAGAAGCTCAGTCTCAGATTCCTAGAGAAAATCAAAGCAACCCAAACTGCATAATTTGATGTGCCTGTTTTCATACTCAAGATTAGAGCTACAGTCACAAGGGCACTTGAGCATTAACGTAAGTATTTCCTGGTAAGAACATCCAAGTCAGTTTTGTTTCCAGACATAAGGTGGCAGCATAGGATATCTAAAGCCTGCTGGCGCCATCTCTGAGGGAGCCAAACAGCTCGGATCGGGGTATGACACAAGCTGCTCTTCCTAACGTTGAGAAATGATCAGAAATCTCTAAAGCCTGCACAAAAGAACTCTGAGCATAACTCTTTCTTTCACTTACTACCATTTGGCTGTGTGTGCCTGAGAGTACAGAAGTTAAGAATCATGGCCAAGACCTTTAATCACAATTATCTTCAGAGCAAAATGCTACTGCTGTACATTTCTTTCAACTTTGTCATGTTTCCAGCTCCAGTTCCCTGGCTAATTAGGAAGAAACGTTCCAGACAGTATTCTGAAAACCACTGTTGACATTTTGTTCTAGGAAATTCGTAATAAGATTTCCTTATCGAGTCTGGTCCTTCATTTCCTTATTTTCCAGTGTTTTTCAGGTATTCCAATGACAAACAGAGCCAAAAGCATTAAACATGGTAAAACTAAACTCATTCACTCCACAGCTTAATGGCATTTCTTTGACTAATGCTTAGCCTTTACTAAGGGGTATTTATAGTATTTTGAGGGTTCCCCAAGGCTGCTGTGACCAGAATTCCTGTAAATGCAGGCAAATCCGGAAGCATAGTTTCAGTTCATGCACTCAGCTCGCAGAATGTCACGTGTTGGAATGCACCAGGCAGTTCAGTGACTTGCTCCATAGCTGGGCACATTCAGGTAGATAAGCTGAGAGACACACTCACAGCTGTGCAGTCAAGTAAGTGCAGCAATTAAGATAAACACATTTCAGATATTCATTACGTAACATGATTTTAAGAGCTTCTAAAGCCATCCCCAACTAACCTTGTCAGATTGGAGAACAGCCACTGACAGACAAAAAGTAACGCTCAGTCTGCTTAAAACTTTTAAATGCATCTTAGGAAAAGGCTTGAAGGCATTCACTACCTTTTAACCAGCAAATCAAACTTCCAGCTCTGATGTTCACAAGTCTATTTGTAATCAACAGTTTTATTGCTACAGGAGAAGGCCACTATCACAGCACTTCAGGTAGCAGAATTGAGGTCATATTACTCAGGTCACCCTACAGAGGACACCAGACAGCAGAACTTCCAACTATCAACATTTACTGGTAGCACCATTGTGTAACATCACTGGCATCGGGAGATACAAAAAAGTAGTAGGAAAGCTCACAAAAGATGAGCCTATATGCTTATTTTAAAAAAAAGTCCAAGAAGAAAACTTTAATGATGGTTTTGAAACATACACGTTGGAAATACTCCTTCGTAACCATCCATCATTTTCATTATGGCAGCGCCAAACAATGATCACAAATTGAACCCTGCAAAGTGCCAGAGAATATGTGTAAGCATCAGCCTCAGCCATTTGGAAGAGAGAGTTTCATTCATCCAGTCAAGACCATAAGTCATTACAGTCTATCAGTCAAGGCTGATTTTTAGAAACAATGTCACTTTGATTGTAGTAGAAAAACTTAACTATTATAAAAGTTTTGGTTCTTTAGCTCATATTTCATCCTAGAGTCTTAGTGTACTTTAAAGCATGTAATCTCTTTTCTAGGTCTTACTAGTACTTGTTAGGGCTTCATTAAGATGATGTACACAGGTAAAAACACGGGAGTGTTTAGTTCAAAAATCCCAAGCCAAGCCCTCCTCATAAATACAATAACTACACACATAACTGGAGGATTCCTGAGACTACTGGGCCACAAACAGAAAAAATTTTAAAATAAACAGCCATAAACACACCAAAAAGTCAAGGAATACCCTAGCCCTAGTTAGGAGTTTGATTTAGGAAAGGTCAGCCCTAGTTAACAGTTTGGTTTAGAAGGGGTCAAAGACACTCTTCATGAGCCAGCCTTCAGCCACTGCATCCAGCTTTAGTCAAACCTGACAGTGCTGAAACCTGGGCTTGGGGGCAGCCCTTCAAGGGCATCTGCTGCAGCTCAGAGCACCTTTGCTCCCCTCGATACCAGTTCAGGGTCTACAAGGTTACTTTTCCTGGCGTCACCTGAGGTCTTGCTCAGATGCACAAAATCACCCCCTGTGGTCTGGACCTGCACCAGTGGGAGCCCTGGAGGAAAGGAGGACGCGCGATCACGCATCTCTTCACTGCAAAGGGTCTGCCTGCAGAGAAGTCTCTCCGCTCCTCGTTAAGTCTCGTCGCTTCAGTCAGGGCCCGTGACCTACTTGGTCAGAGCGATTCTCAGTCTCAACAGAAATACCTTTAACAGCTGCATTTCACCGGTTTTTGCAGAGAGCCTCCAGTGGCATTTCCAGAAAACAACAGGACACACCGCAACAGTACAGCACGGGAGACACCGGGCTCTTAAGTATGCCTTAAGCGATTTTTAGCTCCTTATTTCTAAAGGGAAAGGAAACCGAATAATCCTTTTTTTTTTTTTTTTTTTTTTTATCCGGTGCATACAAAGCGCAGAGCAGGCGCCCGGGCTCGGAAGATCCAGGTGAAGAGTCGCTCGTGGAAAAGCCGGGGTGGGGAAGGTCCCGATGGACACTGTCCCCTTGATCAGGGGGATCAGGCGGGCATCCTACCTCTTTCGGAGGCTTGGGGAGGGGGAAGCGACTCGGTCCCTGCTGCTGACACCGAGCAGCAGGAGCGCGGGGCAGCGGCTGGAGCGGGGCTGGAGCGGGACTGTTCCCGATCCGTGCCCGGGAGGGGGGGGCGGTGTCTCCGCGGGGTCCGCGGCGGCTGCGCGGGGCGGCCCCGGAACGGCCGGGGCAGGAAACGCCTTTTTTGGGCCTCGGAAGTGCCATAAAAGGCCCCTCAGGAAGAGCCAAATATGGTCCGCGCGGTTCCGGCGGCCGCGGCGCTTCCGCCCGCCCGGGGCCGCGTGACGGGGCCCGGGCGCGCCCCCGAGAGCCGCGGGAGCGCGCGGGGCTCCCGCTCGGGTCCGAGCCGGGCTTGAATCGCCGACAGCTTCACATCGCCGACAGCTTTACATCGCCGGCAGCTTTACATCGCCGGCAGCCGGGCTTTGGCTCGGGCGAGCGCGGTTCCTGCCCGTGAGCGGAGGGGGGGAAAGGTTCTTCCCTCCCTCCCCCCGCGCTGCGCTTCCCGCAGGGAAAGGGCTTCCCCCGGTCGGTGGCAGCACCTGCTGGTTCCCTGGGAACAGCCTCCTTGGAACCGGCTCGTCCTCCCAGCTGGACTAGAAGCGAACTTTTTAAGAATCGGAAGTCCTCGGGCCAATGGCAAACGGGAGATCCCGCAGAAAACGCGCGGTCGATGCTTTCCCAGCCCGGGAATCTGCCTGCTTTTTATGGGATGAAGACCACGGAAATAGCATGTATCCCAGCCACTCACAACCCTAAACACTGGTGATTTGTAGAGAGCCCACCCAAAAGGACAGACACCAGACCCCTGTTCTGTACCTGCACCACCAGTTCTCGGGGATGAAACTCCTCTGACCTCAGTCTGCAGTGGCCACATAACCCCTGAAATGTATTTCAAACCATCCCCTAAGGAAGGGTTTTCTCCTATAAATACTGACAGACCCGTAATAAAGTCTGTCAGGGCCACACGCTTGCATGACCTATGTTGTGTCAAAGAGGAACTCAGACAGCCCTCAGCTGAGCAGGGCCACCTTCTGTCAACTAGCCCTTACGACTGAGCTTATTGTATTGCCAGCCTTAAAACTGCTCTATGATCTTCCCACTCAGTAAGAGTTTTGACTACCTACAAACACAGTTGAGATTCTAATTTTCTAACTTAACTTTCAGCACTGGAAGAATCGGTTTTCTTCCCAAGATTAGCTCACATGCTTTTGGAGAAGCCAGAAAACAGTAATCATGGTAACTTCAAAAGAGCAGGCGCTGTGCCTAATGCAAGGATGTGTGTGCTCCATCCAAGCCTTTGCAAATAACTGAACGTGAGATTGATCTTTCTTTAAGCAGGTATTTTTCCAAGAAACCAGCAGCACTTGTGGCTTTGCAGCCACTGAAGGAGTCAGGATTGCTGTAGCACAGTCTTCCTGTATAGTAACTTAAAGGAAAACGTGGAAGTCTGCACGACTTGATATTTTATTTATTTTTTTCTGAAGGGTATTGTACACCAAATATCCCATTGGCAGGAAAGCGCATTCAATGTGTTTAGAAGCCAAACAGTCACTTTCATTTTAACAAACACAATTATAAAGTAAAAATAAACCACAAAATAATGAACTGCATGTTCATAACATACAAAAATTGCTGCCTACTCAGTAGGTAACTACAACATTCCAACTCCTGAATATATATATAAATTTACATTTTTGTAACAAAAATAGACTTTGAGAGGTGTGGGATTTTTTTTTTTTTTTTTTTTTGCTTACATTCCATCCCCCAGGCCTTTCTCCTGCTCCACTCCCCACTCAGTCCCTGCTCTCCTTTACATTCTTTGAGTAACATCCCTTTCACTTTAAGGCAAGATGCAAAGCATCCATTCACACAAATGCATGACGTCAGCAAGGCTTCACAAAAAGGCACCAAGACTTTTAACTTTTAAAACAAAACTTCTGCCACATGTGAGTGTCTCATCAGATGATATTTACACAGCATCACTCTAACATGCTCAAATACAGTAAGTGCTGTTCCCAAAGAAGTTTGAAACGCGTTATAGCATTGTCACTGAAATAGAATTAACATTTACAAAATATGGCCCTGCAAACTCCAAATAATACAATATGAATATGCGAAGATTTTTTTTTCCACATCAATAGTACCTAAAGGAAAGCAAAACCATGGCACATGTACAATTTACATCAGCTAGATACTTAATCAAAAGTCCTTTCTTCCTAATAAAAGACTATTGTTTACGGGGAAAATTATATTGAACTTATATCCACAGTCCATGCAAATTAAGTCATTCAACAGAGGTGGAAAACTTAAGCAGCAGTTGTTTCAGGCAGCTGAAGTTTAAACTAAAGTTAAAAAGCCTTGCAACGTATGGTGTTGGGGGAGTAATTGGAGACTCCATGTCTGATTGATAACACCAATGGAAAAGGTGAATTCTCCTGTTCCAGAAGGTCATCTCAGCAGATCTCAATTGTCCTTGGAGAAAAGGCTGAGTTCATGTCTGAAAGCGCTGAGGTCACCTGAGAGCTGAAATTGTTGGTGACCCCTGGAGATGAGAAGGAGGTGGCCACTTGGGTCTGAAAAGTGGCAGTGCCAGAGGGATAAGTGGTTGCTATAGAAGGGGATGGGAATGTGGTGTGTGCAGGGGAGGGATAGGAAGAGGGAGCAGGAGAGGAATACACTGTGCGCACTGGCGAGGGATAAGTGGTGGTGATGGAGGAAGGGTAGGATGTAGTCACAGAGGATGAATAGGCAGGAATCGGGGAAGCAGTTGAGACTGGAGCTGCCTTTTCCACTTTCTTGTCCTTCTGCCTAAGGTGGATTTTAGTGTGCCTCTTCCTCTCATCACTCCTGGCAAACTTTCTGCCACAAATGTCACAGGCAAATGGCTTCTCCCCCGTGTGTGTGCGGATGTGCGTGGTCAAGTGGTCACTCCTGCTGAAGTTCCGCATGCAGATGCGGCACTGGAAAGGTTTCTGTCCCGTGTGGATGCGGATGTGCCGTGTCAGCTCATCGGATCGGGAAAACCTCCGGTCACAGGACTCCACGGGGCAGGCGTAGGGTCGCTCGTGAGGGGGGGTCTTGCTGGGACGGTTTGGGTATTTCCTCATCCTGCTGGGCTTGATCAGCTGGGACTGATAGTTAGTGTTGAGGGTCTTCAACTCCTGGGAGCCAGTCTGAGTAGCAAATGCCTTAATAGTGGACAGTGGCGTGAGGGAAGGCTGCTGTGCTCTGGTCTCGAGGGCTGGGAAGGGCTTCTGCTCAGCTGGAACAAGACTGAGTTCTCCCTGTTGCTGAGGGAACAGGTAATCCGGGATCATTGGCACCTGAAAGTTGGTTTTAGCAGTCGGATAAGCTGGAGGTGGGTATTGGATGGGGGCTCCAGTGGGGTTGGGGAAGGACTGGGTCTGCGATTCAGGGAAAATGTCAGAGCTGGAATTGGGAAACGTTGGTGCAGCTGAATAAATTGGACTGTTCTCGCTGGCTTGGACTGAGCAGCTCAGTGGGGAGCTCTGAGAGGAGGAGGATGGTGACGATGAAGTAGGCGTCGAGGTGGGAGGTGCATTAGCCATGCCCACCAGCCCACTGACGAGGCTGAAGAGAGGCTCTGGCCATAAGGTGTTGCCGCTGTTGGGGGCCGGCTCTAAGGAGAAGCGCCCCGTGTAGGTTATCGGTGGCAGCCGCGTCGTTTGGTTGGGATAGCTGGTTTCTGGCAGGCTTTTCTCGTTGTTCAGGGAGATTTCGGGAAAAGTGTCTGAAAAGAGAGGAACAGCGATTACTTCCAGCAGTCACTGCAGCCGCTGCCGGAGCTTCGCGAGCCATCCCCAGCGCAGCGCAGCCCCAGATTCTGGTTAATCACTAATTGAGCGTAACATATTGCAGCGCCGCTGGCAGCGCTCCAGCCGCAGCCAGTCCGGAGCTCTGACGCAAACAGGAGGATCCCCCCGCGCGGCCGCCGGGACCGGGGGCGCCGCTGCAGCGCGGAGATCCCGCAGGCGGACCGGGACTCCCCGCCCGCCCGGGCCGGGCCGGGCCGGGTCAGCGCGCTTACCTGCCGCCAGGTGCTCGAAGTGCTGCTCCCCGGGCTCCCCGGCGGCGCCGAAGCCCCCGCTCTCGGGCGCCCCGGGCGGGGCGAGGAACTGCGGGCCCCCGCCGCCGAGCAGCATCATCTCCTCCAGCTTGGGGTAGTGAGTGTCCATGGCGGGGGGCGAGTGCGGGAAGGCGCCAAAGGGGTCGGAGATCTGCAGCGGGGGCAGGAGCTGCATCTCCGCCTTGGCCGCGGCCATGAGGGCGCGGGGCTCGGGCTCTGACGGGTGATGGCGCTGCCGCCGCGGGGCCGGCGGACGGGCCGGCTGCGGCGAGGCGGCCGTCGCCTGCTGTGCGCCCCGCGCCGCGGTGGCCCCGGCGCTGCCCGCTGGAAGCGCTCGGCTCCCCGCCCGCCCGCCCGCGGCTCCCCCCGGCTGTGCCCGCTGGAAGCGCTCGGCTCCCCGCCCGCCCCAACGCCGCCCCTATATATCGGGTCTCACCGGCCGCGCACCGCCCCGGCCATGACGTACATGGCCATATATGGGAAGCAGGAAGCCCTTATATGGATGCGGCCTGGAGGACCCCGCCTGGCGTCAGAGCCTGGCACCGGGGAAAGCCGGGCCGGGGGGCCCCGCCCGCCCCGCGCCGGGAGCCCCGCGCCCTGTGCGGGGCTGTCCCCGGCCACGGGCAGCGCCGCCGCAGCGCCCCGGCCGCGCCGCCGGCCCCGGGGCGCGGGGTCCCCCGGCCCCCGCCGGCCGCGGCGGCGCTGCCGGAAACCCCCGCCGCACTTTCCATATAAGGGAACGGCCTTATAAGTCCCGGTTCCGGCGGAGGCTCCCGCTCCTTATTTGGCGGTTCCGGCTCCGGGTGGGGGGGGCGCCGAGCCAAGGCCGCAGCCGGGCGCGCGCCCGCCCCCGGGGCCGCGGGAGCGCGCGGGCACTGCCCGGGCGGGCGGAGCGGGGGGCGCCCGGCGGGCCCCGGGGTTGTGTCCGTGGCTGTTCGCCCTCAGCCCGTGTCTGCTCAGCTCGCACCGCTCACCCCCCCACACACACACACCTCAGCCCCCGCGGAGGAGCCGAGCGCCGGCGGCGCACGGTCAGCTCGGCAGCCCCTATGCGGAGGAGTTTTCTGGGCGCTGGCAGCGCGCCCAGGGCGGGAGCTGCCCGCTCCCGGAAAAGGGGAATCTCCGGGATTCCAGCGGGCCTGCCGGGAGAGCCCTGCTGCCTCCGCCCGCTCCCAGCGAGAGCGGCGGAGCCCGCACCGGGGCAGACCCGGGCTCCGCGCGGCAGAGAGCGGGTCACGGACACAAACAGAGCCGCGGGTACCACATGTCCGCGGCCACCACCGACAGCGAGTGACAGCGCTCGGCACTCCGCTCTCGCATCCCTCGTTAGGGCTGTCCCTTGGCGCGGCCGCGGCTCCCTCCCCGCACGGAACCCCGGCGCAGCGCGCACCGCCGCGGGAGCGCCGGCGGGGTCGGGGGAGCCCCGGGCGCCATAAATAGCGGCCCCGGCGGAGCCACCGCCCCGCCCCGGCCCCGCCCGCGCGGCCCCGCCGGCGGGGCTCCCCCAGCGCGCGCCCGGCCGGCGGCGGCGGCACCGGCGACGCAGTGCGGCCGCAGTGCGCGTGCGCGGGGCCGCCGCCGCCGGGGCTTCCCCGCAGTGCGCGGGGACCGCGGTAGGGGCGGCGGGGCCGGGGGGACACCGGGGGACACCGGCGACACCGGGGGGCACTGGCGGCGCGGGGAGGGCCGGCAGCGCCGCTGCTCGCAGCCCCCGCGGTGATCCTGGCCGCGCCTGCCGCCCGCCCGGTGCCGGGCATCCCCCCCGCTCTGCGGGCGGGCGGTTGTGTAACTCACCGCGCTCCGCCGCCTTTGCGGGCTATACCCGAGTCGCAGGGCTCTGCCCGCCCGCTTTTATGGAATATTTAAACCTCTGCCGCGTGCACGGGTTTAACCGAGTTGCTATATTTAGGGCCGTGCCTTGTCAGTGTCGCTGTGCGGTGCCTCCCACACTGAGGCATTTCCAGCTTTAAACCCAGCCATGGGTTTGTAGCCGCACGATGCCTCCGGGAGAAATGTGGAAGGCTCCCGCTTATCTGCAGCTGGTGTTACTGAATGGCAGCTAATGCACATCTGTTCTTCGGTACTTGCTCTTTATGGGGAGCAATCGTACTGTTTTTCAAATGTCAGTGCACCAGGCCAGACCTCTACCTTGAAAATGGGATTTGGTGCTTTTCCTTTTTTAACAAATACCTGCTGCAGGGTTTGTGACGTGCCATACATAATGATTAAAACTAGTCTGTTTTTCACCAGCCTGTCACAGTGTGGAGCCCTGTTAGAAAGGGATGAGTAGCAGAACCTGACTTTTTTTACAAACACCATAGTTTGTTTTGGCTTCTGAACACGTTCACTGACACTGCAGAAGCCACTGCATCTTTCTTTCCCTCTTTTCTTTATTCTATTCTTCTTCAAGATCAGAAAGAACTGCCCGATTCCCAGAGAATTTCATTCATACACTCTGCATATATTAGGCCCAATATTCCTTTACTGGTATTGAACTACATAATTCAGACAATTTTGGTTTGTTTTTCCAAATCTGAAATTCACAGAGATGAAGAAAATCTATTGCTTTCTTACTTTTCAATAACCTCAGATATTATTCGTTAATTGCTGTTTTCATGACCATCTTACTTCAGGTCTTGCCCACCTGTACTGTGAATAAAAGTAAAGTGGTCACTGCTACTGTTGGCACTGAATCAACTAAGTTCAACTCCAAGTGCAAGAAAAGTTAATCAACTTTATCTTTGTAACTTGCCCAGTGTTCTAATACAAATTTTCGTTCAATTAGATGCACTTTTCACTTCATCCACAGACAGCTTCCTTGTGTCTGGAATGCCCACTCACTTTTGGCAAAATTCAGTCATTTTCTTTCAGAAATGTTATGTTTGCCTGGATATGTAATAATAACAGCATCAGTCATAATTTCTCTAAGTCTCACACTAATTGTTCAAATACACGTGCCTTCAATTGTCTTTATCCTGAACCTCCAACTACCTCATTCTGTTCTCTCCTCTGTTTCCCCTGGATACTGTTTTTAATATTCCAGGCTGTATACCAAGTTATTAGATATCCCTTTAAAAAGTTTTATTATTTTCTAATTTTTCCATTCTCTGCCTGAATAATTAGAAAAGAGGGGATATTGCAGCTTTTTAAAGAAATGCTGTAGAGTTGTTTCTATCCTCTCGCCCTGCACTCCAGAACCAAGTCATCTGATTGTAAAAACTATGACATTTTTATGCATTGTACTGCAGGATATTCTACAGATATATTAAACTTATTTATAATTATTTTTTCTTTCTTTGCAGTTGCATTCATTACAATAAAAGTCTGTCGCTTTTGGATGGGGCACAGAGGCAATGGGTACAAATGCACTCGTAAATGAGGAAACACTTAAATCTCAGCATCCTTTTCAGTTCTATGAGGAGTGAAAAACAGTTTTTTTGAATGCATGGCTTTGCTGTAGTGACTGAGACAGTGTTTGCTGCAGAATTCTCTCCTCACTGTGGTACGTGGTTCTCTTTGCTCTGTGCACAGGCCCCTGAACTGCGCTGCTCCCACTGGCTGTGGCAGAGCTGTCCATCACCCAGGAGAGGGAACTCTTCCCTGGGATTACTCTAGAGCAGGGTGTGCTCTAAAAAAATTAAATAGAGCAGAGATTGTGTAAGAATTGGGTTGCTTGCTTGGTTTTTTTCCCGATCTCAGACATTATAGATGAGCAGCAAGATGACGTCATCGATTTTTCTCGGAAATCTAAGGCAGCTGAGGGCTTTCCCCTCAGGCTTTCCTGCTCTGATTTAAAGAAAACCCTTTAAAAATAGTTCATTTGGGATGCATGGATTAATAGACTTCAAAAGCCAGTACAGTCCTTGAAGTATCCAAACATTTCCCTGGTGCTGAAGAGCACCTCTGTTCTGGTGAACCTTAATCCTCCAGTTGAGGTAATTTGGCTGCGGTTGCCAAGAGACAATGCTTACCTCAGTTTGCTGTTAGCCCTGTGACAAATGGTATTAGGTCTCCTATGGTATCAGGATGAGTAAGACGATTCACCATATACTGGTGTCCTCTTTGTCCCTGCAGAATTAATATATGAGAAATATCAGCAAGGTAAAGGTAAGAAGGTAGTGGAAGAAAAGCAAAGCAGGTAACAATTATGAACATTCAACAAGTGTTACCAATGAACAAAGACAACAGATGCCTCTGCCAGTGCTGGGATCTCACTGCTGCTGTTACACAAGCACTCATTTTCCTCCTTTGGTAGTTCACTTTCTTCTTCAGAACAAAAATCACTGATGCCATCTACTGTATGTGTGTGTATCTTTAGACATGAAGGGTTATTTTAGATGCCAGGCAGATTCAATGTACTGAAGCTAGGGAAGCCTTCTCACATTAGGTTAACATTTCATTTGGGGTAAGATTAAAAAAAAAGGAAATACAAATTATAAGCAGAAAGAGCTTCATCATTCTCAACTACTGCCCAGATGAAACTGTAGCCCCTGATGTGGGCCTTGTATTCTGTAGGGGAAGTGGGGCTGGTGCTAGCGACAGAAGGAAAAATGTTGTGAAAGAGCAATTTAATTGTGTATTCCTAGCCCAGTACAAGGAACACACACTGCAAGTGAAGGGTTATATAACACAGCCTTGGGAACAAGCACAACAACTCTGAGAGCAAATAAATCAACATTGGGACCAGTGACTATTAAACCAATACAATGAATGCTCGTAACAAATTTGGTTTAACACACTCTGGTCAGATCTGTCATTATCTCACCCCTTTGTGCTCCACAATAGGGCACCAAAAAGGACTGTTGTGGTTTAAACTCAGCCAGCAACTAAGCACCACCCAACCTCTCAGTCCCCTCCCCACGATGGGATGAGGAAGGCAATCAGGAAAGTGAAAACTCCTGGGTTCAGATAAGAAAAGTTTAACAACTGAAATAAAGTAAAATACTGCTAATAATAATGATAATAACAATAATAATAATAACAATAACAATAAGAAAAGAGAGCGAGAAATAAAACCCAAGATGCACAACAACCTCGCTCACCACCTGCAGCCCAGCAGTAACCATCAGCTTCTGGCCAACACAGGTAGTGTTTGTTTACAAGATTTCACACGACCACAGAGGCAAACCACCCTGACAACAAAAGGCTTGGGAGTTAGATAGGAAAACACTAGGAAATTCATCACAGAAATACCTATGAGCTCTTAACTACAATGCCTTTCTGCTTAACCTGAAACATCTATGCAGAATACTCTCCCTCTTGCTATGATAGTTCACTAATAAACAAAACCAAACCACTGCTGCATAGTCAGGATGTTATAGCGAGGATGGAGGCATATTGTTCGGAAGATTTGTCTTGCAATTTTCATTCCCTGTGACTCTGTTTTTTTCCGCTCTCACTGCAGTGCTTGATAGAGAGTAACATGAAAGAAAAAAAAAAAAAGGTGTTATTACAGCTATATATCTCATATTCTCTCCAGCCTGTAACAAGAATTCAGAAGATAAGAGTTTCCTCTTGAATGACATTGGCTGCTAACCCAATCAGAGTACGGAAGGGAGATTCTATTCTAACTGGCTTCCAGCTCTCAACAGCAATGCCCCCAGCCACTGTACCCTCCCTCTCTTACATCAGTCAGCTTCCTATCCCATGCTAGCACATGCTCAAGTGTTGTGGGCGTAATCATGCACATACATACACCACAGTACATCACTAGATATATATATATATATATACATATTTAATTGACTAACCATATCCCAAGCACATGAGCCATTCAAAGGCAGATCTTTAACCCCCTCAGGCTGTGGCAGCAAAGGGCAGCAGCAAACTGCAGGACACCATGCAGTGACTACCACAGTCACGGTCACTTTGCAAATAAACTATGTGTTCCATTAGAATATGGAATTTATAAGAAAATACCCCCCCCCTTGCATTCCAGTTGGTCCTCAGAGGTCAGAGGGGGCTGGGCACAGCAGGTTTAATTTCTGATTATAACCAACTTGTCACTATAAATTCTTGAGTAGGACAACAGGTCACAGATCAAGTGTTGAAGACATTTCTAGTTTTACTGCCTTTCTTCATGGATGTTACCAGCGTTCATCCTGTGTTTGATGCACTGGTACATGGAGTGAATAAGGCCGTGAGTTTCCTCAAATTTCTATCCCATGGCAAATAAAAATACAGTGCTTGATACTACTATGAATCAGAGGGGATTTAAAATGCACATAATTGCCAAATATCTTTCTTCCTCTCACTTGTCTTACATGTTTTTAATGCGAGTACACCACCTATCACTATGTCTGGCAGTGAGCTTCTGAGTAAGAACTATAATTTGGCTTTTCTATATGGTGTTCTATATTGTATTTTCAATTGGCAGATATAACGCAGCTTTTTCTTTCTTCTTCTTCTTCTTCCAGTTTTCTTTCATGAGTGCTGATACACACAGTGCTGCAATCACCTGGCTGAACAGCTAAGTTGAAACCACCCACAGCCCTGCACTGGAATAGGTACTCTGCTCTTAATATGTCCTTGGTTATAAATCTGTCCTTACAGAGGCCTTGCTGTCATCCTCAGTGACTGTCAAAACCTGTACAGGCTACAGCCTTTTTTGTCCCCTAGTTTTAATATATTTTATTCCTAATTGTAGAATAAAAATATGCAAATCACTTGCATTTCTTGTACACAGCTTTACTAGGTCAGGGGATAATATTTTTTTTGTCTCTACCTGTTCCTCAAATGTCCATCTGCCTCTTTTTCT